CCACATGTTATAATAATACAAATGAACAATGTGAAAAAAGTGTGCTCATTCCTATAAAGAATTTTTAATTCAAAAATTTATAAAAATCTAACCATATGGTCTGCTCATCATTAACTCTGTAGAGGAAGTTAACAATTATAATGAAATTCCAGCTGATTTGATGAGCAATAAACAATTTTCTTTAAACATAAAAATATAACGGATCTAACCATCTTAGGTAGGTCTTTTCTATTTACTTTTATTGTATTGCCATTTGCTTTTCTTTTTTTTTTTGTAAGTTTCCTTTTATACATGTAAGTATAATAGATTTTTCTTTTATTTATTTGCTTTTATAATGTTTATTTCCAATTTCTAAACTCATCAAATTCATGAAAATCTTTTAAATAAATATGAAAAAAATCTTCTTTTTTTATCATTTTTCCTATGCACCTTTTTGTGTACTTTAAATACATGTGTATGTAAACAAATGTGCGAGTACAATATTTTTGTGCATTTTCAATTATTTACGATTAACGTGAAAGTTTTATAGCCTCTTTTATAAAAAAAAAAATACATAAGAAAAGTTCGATAAAAGAAAAATATTTTTCTTTCATATTAAAAATTTCCAAGGCGCCCTACATGCATAAAAATCTTTTTTTCTTGTTTTTATTTTTTTGTATGATTTTTTTAAGTTATACGTATATATATATATATATACCTATTTATTTTTTCTATTGACTTTGACTTTGCTCTCAATGGATGACATTTTATAGTTTGTAAAATTTTCCAAATTAGGAGCATTTTCCCCCCTTTTCATCTACTATATAAATAAATACAAACACACACTTATACAAGTGAATGTAATGAACATTTTATTGTTTATTACTATGGGAAGAGAATTTACGAGACAAGCCTATAATGCATATTATGTATGCATGCAGGTATGTCGATGATGTAAAACATTTATTTAATAGAAGAGAAGAACAAGGCAAGACAATGATGATGATCAACGATCAGTCTAGTCAAATCAATTCGGATTGATTTTTTTTTTTATATTTTTACTTTTTAAAAGCTGATCTACCTTAAACGGCGATGATGATTTTTACTTGATGGGATGGAAAATACTAATATAAAAGTATATATTTATTTTTTTTTTTGCTTTATGAATGAAAGTTAAATTCATCGCTTGGTGGTTTTTGTCTGAACATCATGGTTTGATTTTTATTTGGTTTTAACGTCGTTCTTCTTTGGAATGTTATCAATGAAAGACAAAAATTCATATGGTTTCTTTCATAACTGTAAAATATTTAACTTATTGTGTATTTGAAATGATCTGAGAAGGTGTCCAAATATAAAAATGTAAATAAGATTGAAAAAAAAAGTTAAAGAAATTTTGTATTTACCTGAACAAGTACAAAGTGTAAATGTTGTAGATTTTTGTAGAGGAATGTTGCCAGAAGAACTTTTTCTTTAGCCACCGTAGCCGGTGTTGTGATTTGTTTCTGGACCTCATAGTTCTATTTCCATATACTATCCAGGTTCCAAGTACAAACATGCGTGTTTTTTTACGGTCCGAGTCACTCTAATTGTCTTACCATCATTTTCGCAGAGTCAACATAAAAGGGAGTAAAATTTATCTATTTTGGCTAGACTTAATGTTAGTTTACAATTTACATGCACTTATGTAGATAACAAAATTTTTAAAGCAAATATGTACTAAATATTTTCGGTTATAAAAACTATTTCTGTATGGTGTTGAAATTTTAATATTTGTTTATAATTTCTTAGTGAAATTATAAAATTATCCTATCCTTTATCCTATCCTTTAAGAAACTTTAATTCTTTTCATTGAAAAACAAAATTTCGTTTTTATACTTAATTATTGGTACTCGTATATTGTTATAATTTTGCTTGCATATTATAAGTAAGATATTATTTTAAAACATACATACTATACCGAAAAAACCATCAATTATATGTAAGTGGTTATATAAAAAATATTTGTGAATAGAAAGAGAATTATGCATGAACATTAAAACCATTAACTACATATTGTTTAAAAAATTCCTGAAAGCCGCATACAAATAGTTACTATTTCAATATGCTTAATGAAAACTTCATGCTAGTGCATTTACTCATCACATTATTTATAATAATTTTAAAATGAATATTAGCATTTTATGTATTACATATTCACACTTGTGTATGTACTTAATGCAATAGCTTAATATGAATACATATTTTGTGCACTTAATGTACTTAAGTATATACTTACTTACTATTTATTTGCAAGTATGCAGAACAAAAAAATTAAATTTATGTAATAAATAAATTGTGAGATAATCAGGGCGCCACACTTTTAATACAAAATACATCTTCATTGTATATAGAATAATACAACAGTTTTGTATAGAATAGTATATACTAACATACATGTCTAAGCACATACTATAATTTAATTTGTGAAATAAAATGATTTTGTTTATACTTATTACAATAAATTTTACTTTATTCGTTTTCTCAACTTATGAACATAATTTACATATGTTAGCTTCTATTCATTGTGTAGATATAATGAGGATATTACTTGTAATAGCAATTTCATTTTCTAAATTGTATCTCTACTTAGAATAATTTCATACATTGAATTCCAGAATTTGTGGTGAAGTCGTAAATTTATTGAATTATGAGTGATTTTTGTTTATGATTGTTTTTTCGTGTTTTTGTTTTTGACATTTCACGTGATATTTGTCATTAATGTCAACATTGAATCGATTTAGTTTTTTCATAATACTTAACGATATTGAAAGACAAGCTGCCAAACAACATTTTTTGAAGTTTTATACGTAAAATTTGTTAATAATATAAGAATACATTCAGCAAGCAAACAGCTTAACGTCTTAGATCTATCAATTATCCGTCAAGATTATGCGATTTGATGCTCCTTGAGGGTAAGTGAAATATATTGTTCACATCGAGCTTTCGACGTTTTTAACCAACGTGTAACTTCATAATTATGTGCAGTATAAGGTATGTTCATGTTAAAATTGCAATTTAAAAATAAATTTTGTCTAATGTAAGAATGTCTGTATTTTTCAATGTGTAATTTTTTCTAAAGTTAATAAAAAATTTATTCATAATTTAATTTCAAAATAATTATTTTCGATAAAGATCATATGACACCATATTTAAATTAATGTAAAATAAGTATTGTTATTTTTAAGCACATACTATAGCAGTTATCTACATTAATAAACACTCTAAAACTATTTACATATGTAGTATTTAAGTTAATAAAAAAAAATATTAAAAATTAAAATAGAACAACCACAAATTGTAGCTCAAATTGCGTCATAATAATTATTAAAACATAACATTTACAAAAGAAAAACAAATAAAAATAAAAAGTATAGAAAACCAAAAAAAAAATCTTGTTTTTTATTTTGTTTAAGTGGAAATTACTTGACTGACACTCTGCTAACAACTAGCTGACAATATTCTTTTATGTATACTTATATAAATTTCACACAGCAATTAATGAGCATATTATATAAAGAGAATGCGTTGATATTCGCAATTTAATTTTTGAATAAGTACAACCATTTTGTGAGAACTCTAATAACGCAACTAGTGTGTTTTAGTTATGAGAGCCAACAAAACGAAAAACATAAAAACGCATCTCACATGTTTACATTATTTAAGTAAAATAAATAAAACAAAATGTGCACTTATTTTCGCAATTAATCTTTTCTAATTCCCATTGGTTTCATTAAGATAGTACGAGCATTGCTTTGCTCGTATCTCTATGATATTAAAGAATAATAAGAATCTTTGAATATCTATGTAAGTTGTACATGTGCATATGAACGCAAAAGTAGATAATGACATAAAATTAAGTGACATTTTTTTATTACATGAGTACACATGTAGTACAAACAAATATTTTGTGGGTATAATAATCGTGAAAAAATTTAATATTTTATGAAAAAACGACAAAGAATATAAGTGTTATACAATTAAAAAAAAAAAAGAAATTACACCATGATGTTTGAGTATAAAATTAAGGGAATCTTATAAAATTCCATGTTTTAAAAAATCGAGTAATTTTAGGCAGGATAATTTCATTGGTATTCACATTTAATTTAACAACAATAAGCTAAGTAACCAATTAAAAAATAACCCAAAATAGCAAATTTTAATAAATTATTATAGTATATGTGTGTTTACATTGAACATGTAATTAATTTGTTTAGAGTGTTTAGACATTCACAGTACTTACACTTCTAGTTTTTAAATTTCTATTTCTCTTCACTTACCTACCTTTTACGCTTTGTAAATTTTTTAGATAAACTAAGACGATTTTTTTTTGTTTGATTTTTGTAATTCAATATTCTTATACTTACATACGTTGGAATTAAAGTTGGAAAAAAAGTATATGAAATAAATTTTGTTAGACTACCGCAATACTATTAAAACAGGTTTCCTTTTAAAAGGTTTTAATTATGTAATGCAACGTCAAACAAATCTATAATGAGGTTTCTTCCATCAGGTGATTCACATTCATATAAAGCTGAGTAATTATCTAAATGTAGCTAGTCAGGTGACCTTGAAAATAAATGTAAGAAGTAAAAAAACAAATCATTTCACGATTCATAAATAAGAAGTCCTTCAACATCCAAATTGGCAGCATATTTTAATTCTTAAATTTTGTCACAATAAAGTGTTCGCTCAATTTAAATTCGGTAACCTACTATGTCAAAAAATCCTTTATTTAACACTTATTCAAACAGAAACGCTATTTTTAATTCTCAGTTTCAAATAAGAACCATAAATTTCAAGAAAAAATATTTTTGTATGCTTGCAGCAATTAGTAATTTTGTACTTTATTAGTTTAACTAGTAAAATTAAAAAAAAAAAAAATTTTTTTTTATTAATAATAAATTTCTAAAGTTTTTCTCATGTTAATCAAAACCAAAACCCCTGCGAAAAGAACACTTTTTTCTTTATATTTATTAATTATATTAATGACGGCGGAATCTGAAACGATAACGTTTAGCTGTTCTATAACGATATCCATCATTTGATAATGACGCTGATTGATCTCCATTAACTGGTGGCAAATATTCAACTGGCGGTAAATATTCAGAAGAAGGTGTATTATCGGCACTACGACGATGACGATATCTGTATCTAATACGACGAACTTTTCTATATTCATAACCATTTTCACCTAATTTATGAGCCGGTGCCGGTTCTGGAGCCATTGGCGTTGATTCATCTGATGATGATGGACCAGAAGATTGATCTGGTGGTAAATAATCAAGATTTGGCATATCAGGAGCTTCACGACGATGACGGTGTCTATATCTGTATCTTTTGACTGTACGATATCTATAACCACTATTATCTAAAGGTGCTGAAGGAGGAGGAGGTGGTGGAGGTGGTGCATCATCTGATGGAGGTAAATATTCTGAATTAGGTAATTCTGAAACGTCACGACGATGTCGATATCTTAGACGACGAATTGTTCTATATCTGTAGCCATCTGCACCTAAGGGACTTGAATTTGATTCATCTGATGGTGGTAAATATTCTGAAGATATTTCTTCTTGTGCAGTTACATATGCAGTAAACGTTAAAACCAATAGTAGCAGAAATTTCTAAAATTTTTAAATCAAATAATAAAATTTTATTGAAAGGCATAATATGAATATATTCAAGATTAAAATCACTTACCATTATTTTTACAAAATTTTTCTCTTTTAATTTGATTAGATAATTTTAAATTGAAAATCAAATTGCTTGTGATTAAATTTAAGGATTTTCGCAGTATTTATTCTAAAATCTTGCTCTAATATAACTATAAAAAAAATTAATTTAGTTAAAACATAAGTACATACTTTAATTTTGCTATCCAAAAAAAATGAACTACTTAGCTTTTAACTGACCAGCAAAACAAAAATAACGTATAAACCATTTTGTTTTAACTTTCTTAAGTGTCATTTATCAAATTATTTATGTAATTGATTTATCTTTTTTTGTGTATAATCCAAATAATAAATCCGGAAATTTAAAAATCATATATGTTTCTATATATTGTATATGTACATACATACAAAATTATATGTACGGCCAATATAACATGTTAAAGCGGCGCCAAATTAGTATGATGAGTCAGATTTATAATAGTACTTAAGCTACATAAAAATAATTGAAACTAATTTGAAATATTCTTCTAATATTCATTATTATTTATTTATCAACAATTCATTCCTATTAAATGTAACAAAAAATTATTTATAAATTTTCAATTTACATATGTATATATACATTTCATTATTTTTAGAGCACTATATTTGAAGCTGTATCATTCAGAATATTTTGCATAAAAGTTTAAGGTTTACACATTAAGTTTATAATAATATTTAATGTAAAATCTAAAAAGTATCTAAATGGGTAATGTAATCATTATACAAATTTTCTATCAAACATTGTCAGTTCACCAAATCCTGGAGAAAGTACGTTGTTGTCCTGTGACTAGTACTCGAACACATTTTTTACATTCAAACCGAATACATTCATATCAAATATCAGGTACATACTTACAAATATTAATAAATTCATAATAGATTTATTTCGACACTTAAATCATGACAAAAAATATTAAGAAATTAAACTCAAATATTATGTAATAATTTAAATGAGTCTGTAACTGTGTTAATAATTTTTAATATTGCAATAATAATAATCACAATAAATACAAGAAGCATTAATAACCAATATTTTCCGTTCCAATAATTAATTTACAGTTTCGAAATATTTAAATTATTATAAAAGATTAATTTTTATATGAGTACTTAAGTATACATGCACATATATCTTTCTACTTCTGTTAATATATATGCAAATTATATACCCACATAAGTGTTTGACTTATTTTGAAATAAATAATATCGCTGAACTTTACTGCCAAGTATTAGATATCATATAAAAATTATCACTTACGTCTTATATAAACTTGACATTGCATCAAAAAAAAGAAACAGTAAGCTTAATATTTTCATATAGCTCTAGTATAGATCAAAGCCACAACAAAAACAAAAATTGTATAATAAAAACGGAAAGTGAGCGCAAAACAGTAGCATATAAAAAATACCTTTTTATATTTTTAGTTTGATTAACAATATAATAACATTATGGCTTCAAATTACATAATTGACACCAACCATACATAATTTTAAAAACACTGAAATATATTGAAAAGCAAAAATGCATTAAGCAAAAGCTTTTTATTGGAATATAGAATATTAAGATTATAGGTACTTAAACTACTTGGATATTTTCTGAGATAATAATGACAAAAAAAGAAAAAGAATTAATGTGCATGGCTGCTATCATATTTCAGGTGTGGGTGAAGTTTTGATTTTATTTATATTTTTTTCTTTTATTTTTGTGGCAATTGGCAATGACGTTGTGTAGTTTTAAAATACAATAAAAATATTATACTTTTGTTATCTTAAATAATAAATTACGTTGCAAATTTTTCATTTTTTACTAGATAAATTTTGTATATGCATATATATTTAAGTATAAGTAATTGTATACCTTAAAATTTTTCAAATATACTCGTATTCTTATAAGAATTCGAAATTAGCTTAAATATGAGTTTAATAAGAACTTCTGTGTGGGTCATATTTCATTTGCATTTCAAATCAAAATTGAAATTTAAATAAATCAAGAATAAGTCAAAAATTATCAAATCGTATCGAATATAAGAGTATTGATAGCTACTTATTTAAAATTTCACAAGTTTTCTATATATGGACATTTTTGTAAGTTGAGTTTTCTTATCAGTATAACATTAAATATTTAAATAATTCGAGAAAATGTGGCTAAAAACACTTAATTGTGCCCACAACTATAATACGTTTTTTATAATAAATCAGGTGTATAAACCAATATACAGGTGTATGAATCTTATCAACATTAATAGATGGCAAATTACTTAATTAAATTATAAAAGTTTTTTTTTTATGGGTGTTATTTATTTGTGAACGCGCAGGTGGTTGCCATTTAACGAAATAGCAATCCCACTTTTTTGTTTGTTTTATGAATGAATTCAAAATAAGTGTTCTCTTTTTTTTTATATTTACATACTCATGAATATGGAATGTATTTTGTTTTCCTTTCTACCTGCATATATTATTATTCAAACAGGTGCATAAATAGAAATTAATTATTTGGGTTGAAAATTACGCTACTTTTTGTTTTAGAATTTGATTGTAAAATTTGATTAATTATAAAATAAATTCAATTTTGCTTTATTTGAAATTGTTTTTGAATTTTCGTGACTATTTAAAGACAACTGTCTAAAATACCTTTATCTTAATTTTAATGTTTCATATTCGAAAATATTTTAAGTTACTTTCAGTAAAATTTAATTGAAGGAATTACTAAAAAAGAGCACCTAGAAACTGTTTACTTATTAAGAAAAATAATAATTTTGATCGATTTTGCGGTTTTTCGAAAAAAAAAATTTAACAAATCCCATTTGAGCTTAATGATTACTTGTTTCTGTTTTTTTTTTTTTCAAAGGTAAAATAATTTTTTTCTTCATAAAGTAAAATAAATCAAAGGTGGTTTCTTCATTTATCATGCACAAGTCATGTCATAATATTATTATACGAAGTATATACTTGTACAATCTTGTATAATATTATAAATATGAAAAAATATAGCTAGTAAAATAAAATATCAAATTTCATCCTTTTAAATCCTTACAAAAAAAAAAAAAACTGAAATTCTTATAAGTACTTATAGTTATTGTATTTATTTTAAAAAGTGGGTATTAGTTTTTTTCCAAAGTAAAACTAAAAAAAAAAACATTTTAGGGTTAATAACATTTTAGGAAAGAAATTGGAATTTAAGTCCGAACATGTTATCTATAATAAAATTTGTTAAAACGTGAGAGAATTACATAGCGTCTGCAATCTTAAAGTTTGAAAAGAATAAACCGAATGTTTATATTTTGTATAAATTTTTAAATCATATTAAACAAGAGTTATTTGTGGACGTATGGTACAATAATTTTGTATTATGGAAATTGTAAGTTTACTTCATATAAATATGATATTGTACTCTATACCCAAAAGTTAAACATATTCTATTTATTTGAAATATAAGTAATATATTTGGTACTTACGTTTTAAAGTAATTTATCTAGCACACGTAAGCCATTTTTCATTATGAAAATTCTCTGTTTAGAAATTCTCAGTTCTCAGTTCTCAGTTCTCTTAAAAGAAGATTTAATTCACATTTTAACAGCTTTCCTATTAATAGCTTTAATATTTAAATATTTTCAGTTGGTGCTGGCGCACTAATGAATAAGATGAGCAAAAAAATCCTTTTTTGCTGGAATTAAAGTGACATACTTATTATAATATGATATATAAGTTTTTGCTTATGTATTACAATACTCCAGTTTTAATCCAAAAATAAAAGAGAAATTTGAGACTTTTAATAAAAGCTGCTTTAATGTGTGTACATATATAAATGCAATCTAACAATTTCTGCAACAATTTTTAAAACTATAAATCTAAGATACTCTTAAACTTATTCATTTGAAAATATGATAGTCTTTAAACTTATATTTAAGCTAATATTTATAAAAATTTACGTTTAAGATGAATAGAGCTTGTGAGAATGGTGTTGCTATTTGTAACATGGAACCCAAGGATATGGAAAAGTTAAATATTAAGAGTTAAAGACCTGCTTCAAGATATTATTACAATAATTTTTAATATTCCTGTTATGTTATTCATCTTTTTTCTCCTTTTTTTTATAAGTATTCGATAAACCTACTAACTTTTTGACTCTTCCTTTTATGATTTGGTTTTCTATATAAAAATTTATATACATCTATGTATGTATGTATATTACTAATATGTTAATATGCACATTATGTTTAATAAAAAATGTAACATAATTCTTTTTCAATAAGAAGGAAATGCTTTATAAAGGATTCTAAAGCAAAAAGGAATAAACGTACACATAAACTTAATATGAAGATGAAAATAATTTTAAATGTGAATATCCTTTGAAATATATTGTAATATTATATATTTGACATTACACACTTTTCATAATAGAATTCAAGTACAATTCCTTAAGACTGAAAATGTTGCATGTCTCAAATTTGTCATTTGTTACTACTTAATGATAAAATTGTAGCAGTTAATCAAAATGTATTCAAATGTAAATTAGAGTTGAACAGTTTTAACTTGAATATGAAGCATTAAAAAAGATTCCTTTTGATAACGAGAATGCTGACAATTATATTTAGAACTACGAAAATGAAAAGAATTCAAAAAATTTCTAGTTTGAAATTAACTTAAATTTTATGATTCAAAATGAGTATTTATCTTTGAGTTTTACAATAATTTTCATGAGCTTATACTAAGATTAAAAATTCGTTTGTCAAGTAATTTTCGTCAAAAACCAAAAAAAATATTCTTATCCGACATTAACATTAAAGTACACACTGTTCTTGGACTAAAGTCTGTGTTACAGACTTACATACTCTCTTACATACGTACATATATATACATTTGCATTTATTTCTTATTGAATTATAAATATGCATACATGATATTTTCTTCCTTGGTTGCAATTATTTGTATAAGTTACATTTACCCATAAAATATTTAATCCTTAAGAAATAGCAAAAAAAAAATTTTTTTTTGTTTTTTTTTTTTTTGAAATATTAGAACGAATAGTAAATATTTCAGGGAGTTATGTATATATATTATGAATTATTATAAATATTGAATTTTATGTCCTTCGTTAGTTAAAAAATTTACAGTAGACATGAAGGTTGCAAATTTTCCAAAAAAAAAAATCTAAAAATAAAATAATCGATTGTGAATACAATTAAGTTTTTTGCCAAAATTAAATAAAAATTAAATTTCATAAAATTTTCTTAAATTAATGAAAGAGTTTTACTTACGTGATTATACCTAAGTATATACATGTATTTGTTATACGAGTTGCTTTTAAAATTAATAAATTTTAAAAATAGAGAAGAAAATGTGATGAAAAATGAATATTTAATTATTCATTTAACAGTGAATAAGTAATTTTGCTATTATGGAATTTTCATAATATTAATTATAGAAAAGAAAAATGGATACAGTAATTTTAAGGAAAGCAAAATCAAATCGTGATACGGAAAATTACGATGATCCAGGTAATCGTATAACTTAATTAAAGAGTAAATTTTACTTTTTTAATTTTAAATATAAGTTTTTCAATTCAGTTTTTAACTTAAATTTTCCAATTCGTTTAGACCCCATTATATAACACTGTAATTTTTACATTATGTAAAACAGTGGTTTTCAGCATTTCCAAGAATTTTCAACAATTATTGTTGTAGCAAACTTTAAATAGGAGTAGGAGTGTTCTTTTTTTTACAAAATTAATTTTTTAATAATTTTAACGTTATTTTTCATTTCCCATACATATATGTATATATATATATATGTATAACAGAATAACACAATTCAACAATCCCAGTACTTAACTGTAATTTTTAATAAAATTATTACTTTTTTTTTTGTAATAAGGAAATTCCCTAAGATTTTTTTTCTATTTCTTTTAAGTACTTATTTTGTATGTGTTTAGAATTATTTTTTCTCTTTAATTTTTATATTATCTAAGTAATAAATCAATTTAATAACTTTTCTCTTTAGACGTGTAAGAAAAATTCACATTTCTAAGTAAGTAGTTAAAATTTAATTTTTGCTTACATACTCGTACTTACTTATTGTTGCCTGTTTAAATGTATTCATAATCTGTTAAGAAAATGCACAAAGGTGTGCAATAAAATAATTTCAAGTTATTTAACAAAAGCAATTTATTTCCGAACAATGGCATATTACGTAACAATGTCGCGTATGCAGTGTCCAAAAGACAGAAAACGAAAAATTCTAAATAAAGAAAGAAGACGTAAAGAAAAAAAGAAATACATAGGTAGTATGTATAAAATAAAAGACAAAATTGAATAGACATTCTATTTTATAAGATAATTCAAAAAATATTGTTATTCAAACATATTCAATAAAATTAATAAAAAATTGATCTATTGCAACAAAATTATATAATGTACATATAGAACCATAAATTTTAAATAATGAAATATTAAAATTACTAAAAAAAAAACTTTAGAGTGAGTATAGTCTAAGTATGGCATAATCTATTTATACTTTATGTATTCATATACATAATGTACGTAGACAATATTTTCAATGAATATTTCAATAACTAAGTATTATAATAGGAATGGCATGGCGAAAAATTAATAATAGAAAATACAACCTGTACTATAATGGGACAAGACAATGGCCAAGATCTTGACAATAAAAAAGGTTAATGACATATTTATTATACATCTAGATACTTGCGATTAGAAATGCAAAACTTTTTACGATTACTAAAAGAATTGTCGTAAAAGTATAATGTAATTTTTATAGATTTTATAAAAGAAAAAGAATTGAATTTTAAGATGACCTTCCCTTCTATTATGTGAATGTATTTTATTATAATAAGAGCAATAAAGGGTTAAAATAATATTACAAACTGGAATATATACTTAAGTAATAAAATTTTTAAATTTTAGATTTTCGTAAAGTTTTCTTAAGTTGCCACTGAAACCTCCATTTATTTGAAATATTGAAATTCAATTTTAGATATAAATGGTATAGTTTTCAATGGAATTATTAAATATTTAGATTAATAGTGATTAAAAGTTTAATTGGAATATTTACGGGAAAATGGTGAGCAATTCACAATTCTAAAATGTTTAAAAGAATACAAGAATAAATATAAGCCTAGTCCAAAAATTTTAAACAAATCATCTTACTTAGAATGCATTAAAAGATATTGGCAAACAAATTCATAGTAAAAATCCTGATTACTTATTATTCAATTAAACGGAGGTAGATCTAAAAATTTGAAATTTTTTTTTATTTCTATTCGTTTTTTAAAGAGCAAAAAATCATAAATTGTTCATTCCGAAACACAAAAAAAAAAAGTTTATTAGTACTATGTTGCATTCATAAGTAATAAGGCCGCCTTATTTCATTTTAAAAATTCTCATAAATTTTTTCATTTTGAAAATTCTCTTTCCATAAATGAAGAGATTGAAATTTTCTAGAGAAAAGAAAAAACCTAATTTATAGTTAAATAAATAATAAATCATTTTAAAAATTAAGAAAAAAAAAATGAAAATCATTTTCACTTCTAATTTCTTTGCTAAAACTTTTCCGGGCTATTGAGTAAACTAATCAATGCATATCTGTTAAGAAGAAAATCTGTTAGAAAAAAGGAATGACTGAAAACATGCAATCATTTGTTATATTTGTTTAATGCTTCATCATAAATTTGGTATTATTTGAATAATGCGGCAAATTTCAACATAAATCGAAAAATTTTAAATAAACGCGAATAATATGTGTGTAGTAGGTACATTTATGTTGAAAGTATAGAAGTTCATTGAATCTATTGATTACTATTCTATTCGGTTGAATTTTAAAAAATGGAAAATAAGGAAATTATATTTAATAAATATTTATAGTTACAATGTATATAATGTGAACCTTATAGTTAATTCTGTTAACTCAAAACGATTTGTTCGATTCATTTAAGTTATCATTTAAGTAAGATTAGAGAGGTTCAATAAATTTTATTCAAAAAAAATTTAAATGTGGATTAGTTGAATTTGTAATTTTGATTTAAATCCATTACCCAAATGATTTAATGACGGTGATTTTAATTTGAGTTTTTATTTACATTTTGTAAATACTTAATTACATATAAAATGAGACTACCATTTAAAGAACGAATGTATTTTTGAGACAGAAGCACATCTAAAATCTCAAAATAAAAATGATTAATGTTTTCTTTCCCTGAAAATATAAATAATTAATAATTAAAAAAAATTTCAAATTCAAGTATAATTTAACTTTTAATAGTATTAAACTTCATTAATTTACTTAATATTCTAAATTGGTTACAAGCCAAGAGGTATATTTATACTAATTGGAAAATATAATTGGCTTTCATTAAGTTCATTATGAAAGTATTTAGATTCAATTTGTTTCAGAAGTATATTGTATTTCCTCTTACTTATTTCTAAAGATTGGATATTTTTCGGTTCAGAATATTTGTATTCTGATCACTGGCTTATTAGTATATTTTTTTATTACATGCTCTTAGTATATTACTTCAGAATATTTACTACCCGGCAGTTCTAATTATCTCCATCAAATAGTTATGGCTTAACATAAGGTACGTACTTTAAAATGCTTAAGTAGTTAAACTTGAGTGAATCATATTATAAAAAAATTCCTTAAGCTATGTAATCAATTAATCAAATATTTGCGTTTCTCCGAATAAATCGCTAATTTTACATTATGTATTTACCTAAACAATCTAAGTTTTGTTAATTCGCTAATTTTAAATCTCACATTTCGACACTATCTATCTAAGTGTGTGATTAGAAAGAAAGTTTGAAATTAAAATCAATTTGAAAAAATTTTGTTAAACTACTTGTTTGTATGCCAATGATTGTATTTAAAGAAGTAAATCGAATCTTGTTAAAAATAAAAAAAAAAATATTTTTTTTCTACGAATGGTGAACGTTTATAGTCCATCATCAATCAAATTTTAGGAAATTTTTCTATAGGCAATGATATTCACCTATATATAGGATAATTTAATTTTAAATAAAACCGGTTTTTGATTTGTTCGCTTTTACTTGCTGAGGAAAAAGTGAACAAAATAAAAAAATTGGCAAATTGTTAATACAAAATCTTTAAAGGCATAATAATATTAAAGCTTTGATACATTGGCGAATTTTAGCGAATGAAAATTTTATTTTGTAGATATTTAAGTATGTACGTATATGTAACTACATATTTCACTTGTGCAAAGGTAATTTATGAGTTCATTAAACATTTTATTATTCTGTTAACTATTTCATATATGTATGAACTTAATGCTTAAGGTTAATTTAAATTAAACTCAAGATGCAAGCATTTTATATAGTTAGAGTTTAGTCTAAACATTTACTTTGTATAAGTAGTATATTTCATTAAGTACATACCTACGTATCAACTCATTTTTGAATTGAAACAAGTAGTATTAATCTAGCATAAAGCGGAAAAGTATGAATTGATTTTGGAGTAAAATTTTCTTTCAATAATTTTAAAATTTCAAAGCAGTATAAAAATTCATTTTAAAAATATTATACAGTAATTTAATATGTATGTAATATTTGTTTTTTTTGTACACATTATAAGTCACTCTCGTACACATACATAAGTACCTATACGAAAACATGATTGCTATAATAGAAATTCCCCAGAACGTGACCTTATTCCTTTTATTAACAATTTTCCAATATAATGAGTAAATTAATGGGATGAGTGACCTAATTTTAAATTTTATTCTTTTGTTATGAATTAAATTACCGATAGTGATGATTGTTCTATTGATGATCTATGTAATTAAAGCTGTATATATATATATATATATATATATATGTGTACCATTATATAACAAATGATGTAATCTTTATTACATAGAGTATCACACAAATTAAATGTGGAATTACGCAAAATGTATATGTATATTCAATATATTTATAATAACAATAGTTGTAAAATTTAAACTGTAATACTGTTCTAAAAATAGATATCATGGGAATTTGAAAAAAAAAAAATCACCATATTCATTAAATGACAAAATAAATTTTAGAACATTTTGTAACTAAATGAAATACTATGTATATAACTAATAGTGGTCTCTTGAAAAGTGAAATGAATTTCAAATTATACGTAAGTACATATGTATGTATGTATGTATATGAATTTTAATTCAATGGTATATCGAGGTAAATGATATTCAATTCAAAGGGAAATTTGATTCAGTAATTGATTTAAAAGATTTGTTTATGAAAATTTAAAAAAAAAAAATAAGGTTGTTTTAATAACTTGAAATTTTTTAATTAAATAGAATAGTTATATAACAGTAATTAAGTATTCAGATGTACACGAGTACTTTACTGTGTCAATAATGATATTAATTGGGATGTGGTATAAGTGTTGCAGTTATTTAGTCAAATTTTTTAAGTAGAAAATTACTTGTTTATGAAACTTTAATTTGATAAAAGGAAACCTGGTTAAAATT